AGAACTCATATTTTTTGATAGACGTCATTTTTAGGCAGACTTTTTGCTTGAACTTTACGCAATTAACAGCATGGCTTTGCAGCTAATTTTAGCAACCTGCAGGCTAATATTGGTGTCAACTCTTTTTTGCAGAATTTTTCATCCACGTCGGCGATTTGATGACTCTGGAAATGCTTTGCTTGCATTTAAAAAACTCAGACAATTAGCTGATCGAATAGCTGGTGAATTTATTCAGTTCATCTAATCTATCTCATTTATCGAATTCGTTAGTGCCATCTACTCGTATGTCCATACACTTGTCGGTCCCATCGACGTACTAATTCAGTAGTTTGGTATGAATGGAAATGAAGTGCTATGAAGTAAAAGCAGTATTTGACTCAGCACTGCTACAAGAAAAATATCTAGTAAAAAAGATCACCTTTAGCGTATGAATGAGATCAATGTTGGCATCAGGAAAGTTATGAGGAGTGCGATTAAAACTGATAAAATGCGACAAATGCTCTGCTAAATTCAAAATTTTGCGACAAGAAACAAGGCCGCATCGTTTCAGATCGTGATCCTTTATTTGCACACTTATCAAATCCTTCAAATGTACACCCCTGCAATTTCCTGTATTTTTTTGCTGCGGAAAATAAAGCAACACTGATGATCAAGTGTTGCCAACACGCCTATTACTATGGCAACAACAGCTAGCATTTTTTGGAGAGCTGCGGTGCGCGGAAGGCTTTACTTCGTTAAGGCTACAACTAGAACTGAACATATTTTAAAGAACTAGACACTTTTTCAAGAAAGAACAGCACTATCGAGCCATCAGTGGTATATCTCAACAGTTTCAAGACGTTGAACGTTTGGGGGTCATAACTCACCAAAAAATTGTTTATCTTTTCTTTGCCATTCAAAGAAAAAGGAAATTCCTTTTCATAGGAGAGAAACACTAGGCAGCTCGAGATGCCTAATTGCTCATTTCAGAAAACAGAATGTAGTGAAAAATCTGACTCCGAAGAAATCAGAACATCAAAAGAAAATTCGTGAAGCACAAGACCGAAAAGTGATAGACAAAATTTCCAAAACAGTCTCACATGATTGGAATACAGAAAGCTCCGGAGGTTTCGCGTAACGCCTTGCGATAATTAGCAAAATTATTATTTGACGACAGCAGCTGGGTTAGATAGTTAAGCTCCTGAAAAAATTTCTCAGATAATTTCCAAAGTAGCAAAGTTAATTCGTATTCAGCTAGTTCAGGTTTGTTACAGGGCGAATGAGACGAAGTCATAAGCGATCTATTACGTGTGTCCCGATCGAGGTAAGTTTGTTCGGACTTTTGGGAGCCTTAATTATTGAGTGCATTGTTCCACAAGACTGTGAAACGATTTTTGGCGCAAATTCCGTTGAATGAAAGCTTGAGTATTGGCTATTTTCAGGACGTTTTCCTTAAATTTTATTCTTTCTTTGCAAAACTGTAAGGGCAAGATCTGGTTTTTATTTCACTGTCGCTTTATCGTACCGGTGAGCAGCGCCAATCGTTACTAGGAAGCTGGGTGCAATTGTGTCAGACAACTCTACCCGTGTTGCATCGTCTTCTTCACCATGCACACACACTCTTGCTTTTGTGAGCGGCCAAGCCGCCAGCTTCTTGCCTGCGATGTACGCGGTTTCATCAAAGTGAAAAGCCCTCCTTGGCCAGTTGATTCTGTTTTCTCGTGTTCATAGTATTCTACATGCTGTTATTCTGAACGACAAATGAATTCGAAGTCCAGTTATCAGTCCCTCCATCCTCCCCTCGTCCACATTCATCCTTACCCTTTCTTTGGCCGCTTCATATGCCAAATCTTGCATCTTGCTCAACAGAGTACAACTTAAAAGAGAGAGGGAGAGAGACATTCACTTAGTACAATTTCTGACGGCACCAGTAAACATTTGCAGAGTTAGTTGCCCTTTAACATGCCGTGTACGCATCGGTTACAGTGCATGATGTTTTACCAATTTCCCTATAGGGATGTCCGATAATTTCATTTTTGGACAATCGTTGGAGGGAGGCGCATATCCAGAAGATGGATATCTGCTTTACGTCAATTTTATCTTCACAAACACACACAGGCGCACAAGTTTCTTAGCAATATTCTTATTCTCCAAGTGCAAAAAAAATTCGATACACGATGCAGCCACACTGGTATGAGTCCTTTTAGGCTTTGTGGCAGATAGGCACCGCTGTAAGCTTTCTATATAGACTCATGAACAGCGTCAGCTTTAGCAATAGTTCACATTTTTACAGGAAAAGACCTCAACATTCGGCACCAAAAGAAACATTTTAACATGCTTCAGACCTTTTTCAAATCGCTGCATAACGCAGAAGAAGTTTTTGACATCCTTGCAATGTTGCTGTGCGTTATTCCGCCAATTACAGCCATCAAAGTATTATAATTATTCAAGCGTCTCAAGTGCTGAAAAATATGCGCTAAACTCAGACTTCCTTAACCCTTCATATAGATCAATTAATTAGCATGCT